TAGGTGTATAAAGCTTCAGAACCTGGAAGGATGATGTAATAATGCTGGGCTCTTTACCTTTCTTCTGTTTTCTTCTTTAACTACAATAAAAAATAATTGATAAGTAATAATAAAATAATTCCTAAGATTTTCAAATAGCAAATTGTTTCAAGATACCTTTCTTTCAAGGAGTGGCTGGTGGATTTGAACTGCCAGCTTTCTGGTTGCAGTCAAATACCTTAGGCACTAGGGCACCAGAGCTCCTGGAAAAATATCCCTAGGATCCCCGAATAATACCTTAGATTTAAAAAGGGTGCATTGGATCTATATGGGTATTTGCAAGAAAGTCAAATTTATTGGCATTTTTTGAAAGGTCTCTGTTTTGATTACCTAGTGCTGCTCTGACAGGAATATACCACACATTGGATGGCTTTAACAAACAGGAGTTTATTCTCTTACTTTTGGAGGCTAGAAGTCCGAGTTCAAAGTGCCAGGCTCTAGAGGCTGGGTGAAAGCCTCTCAACCTTGGGCTTCATCTCTGCCTCTTGCTTCTGGCCCACTGGATCTGGAGGGATCTCTTAACTTAGGCGTCTTCTGGCTGCTGAGACTGACAAACCCAAGGTTGACAAGTGAAAAGTCACAATCCCGGTATTACCAAACCATGTGGCAGGCTATTGATTCAAGTCCAGAAAAAGTTCCAAGATCAGCAGGGCAACATGGCAGGTTGTGGAACAATGACATGGCTACATGCAGGGTTCAAGTGTGCCATCAGCTGGACATCTTCCTTAAAGTTGTTACTTATATACTGGAAGCAGCCCACATCCCTAAAGCAGCTACTCAGCTGCTCCAGTAGATCCACCGTGGAGTTGATTACCCATCTTACTATGGGGAATAACTACATCTAGCTGCCCAACCACTCAGCCAGGCCCAGGCAAGTTGACATGCAACCTTAACTACCACAGTTTCTAAGAAAAGAATAAAAGTTATAAGATACCAGTCTACAAATAGTTAGAACTGCTCAAGAAAATATATTAGGTCTGACAGACTTCTGGAACCAAGGGTAAAGAGACAGGTACAAAATAAGGAGGTTTGCTTGTTTATTTATTTCACGATTATGAAGTTTATTAGGGAAGTACCAGGTTACAATTCAGGTTCAGAAACACTCAAGGATACAGTCCTTCAATCAGGACAGCCTCCCCTCAGCCATGCCCTCAGGTATGTCTCTCATTGGCTCTCGGCTCCTTGGCCTGCCCTCTGCTCTGCTTGAACCAGTGTTAGAAAGCTCTTTTAGCTCTGCTGATAGGTACCCAGAGAGGCACTCCACTCCATTAGCAAGCCTCTTGCCTGAAGGCACTCAGCTTTCTCATTTCATGGGCCAGGAAGCCCACTGCTTTGTCTCATGCTAGTCTCTTAGTTCTGCTGCAATTTCTTTGCCATTCTGTCTTTTGCTGTCTCTGGCCACCTCAGCAAAGTGTCGCAGCTCTCTCTCTCTACAGGATTGAATCGGAAAAGTTCAGTGTGGGGATCTTGGGTCCCAAGAAAGCTCTCCACTCCTGGGTCTTGTTTCTTATTGGTAGTAAGATACCCCTTTCCGCCTCTGAACTGGCTCATTTTAAGCCTAGCAACATGGCAAAACTGACCAGTCCCCACATTAGGGTTCCATATACCTTATTTGCATGGTCTCTTATCCCCATTGGTGCTATGTACCTTATTTACATCATTAGTAAGCCATCCTTTCCCATTGGTGGGCCACGAGCACCTCACATTTGCATAGTCCCACTCAGTCATTTGATGGGAATCTCAAAGACCATGGCTAGAAGAACTATTATTAATTAATTTGCAATACCACAGAACCTCATAAGGTACCTGGAATAGTACCTGACACACACAGTAAGATGGTAGAAGTGCCAGCTGTTGTTACTAAGTTGTTGTTCGCTTATTTATTTTTTTCCTTCACCCAAGTTAGTGTCTACCCTCAAGTTAGTGGTTTGCCCTCCCTTTCCCACTTACCCCTGGTAACTATCAAAGAATATTTCTTTTTTTATGACACCTTTTCCTTGACTTTTTATAATAGTGGTCTCATACAATATTTGTCCTTTTGTGATTGATTAACTTCACTCAGCATAATGTCCTCTAAGTTCATCCATTATGTTTCACAGATTCATCATTCTTCCTTAATGTTGCGTAGTATTCTGTTGTTGCGTGTACCATAGTTTGTTGATCCATTCTTCCAACGATGGGCATTTAGGTTGCTTCCATCTTAATATTATTGTAAATAGTGCTGTGATAAGCATGGTTGTACATGTATGTATTTGTGCCATGGTTCTTTTTTCTCTAGGATCGGTACCTCGTAGTGGAATTGCTAGATCATATGGTATTTCTATTTCCAGCTTTTTAAGGAAGCATAATACCATTTTCCACAGAGATTGTACCATTTTACAATTTCACCAGCAGTGTATGAGGGTTCCAGGTTCTCCACACTCTACCCAGTATTTGTTGTTTTCTGTTTTTTTGAACTTTGCTATTAATGCTAGGGTAAGATGATATCTCATTGTTATTTTGATTTTCATCTCTCTAATGGCTAATGATGGCAAGCAGTTCTTCATGTGTTTATTAGTTGCCTAAATGGCTTCTTTGGTAAAGTGTCTGTTCATGTTCTCTGACTTTTTAAATTAGAATATTTTTCTTTTTGTTAAGTTATTGACATTTTCTATAAATTTCAGAGATTAGCCCCTTGTGCAATATGTTGTTGCCAATTTTTTTTCCCAGTTTGTGAGTTCTATTTTCACTCTTTTGGTGAAATCTTTTAATTCATAGAATGTCTAATTTTTAGGAAACCCTAGTCATCTATTTTGTATTCTGGTGTTTGTGTGTTTTAGTTATATTCATGAGTATATTAATGCCCTGAGTTAGGGCCAGTCTTGGGAAATACTCCTATAAAATGGTTGTTGAAAGAATAAGTGATTGGATTTGAAGTTATCATGGCAGACTGAACACATGCATCGAGTCTTGTTTGTTCCCCAAAACCCCACTAAATTATGGTAAAAGGACTTTTAAAAAGATATAAATTCATAAACAAAAGAAGAGACAACAGTAACAAAATTTCAAAGCTGGAAAACAGATGTTTTGAGATAACTAACTTAGCACATCCCAGAGGCAAATCCCAGGTTGGCAGTGAGAAAAGCATCAGGTAACTCTGGAACCAAGGGTAAAGAGATAGTACAAAATAAAGAGGTTTGGGTGAGAGCTGTTTGAAAATCAGTTAGATCCCTAGACCCTATGTCACTGGGTAAACTGCCCCTCCTTACCTCCAACAGAAGTCTGGAGGCTTATCCTGTAGAGAAGATTGAACATGGGGTCTCTGGACTAGGAGGGTCTAGACACATTTGTAAGTACTGTACTAAAAACACAAAGCTACTGCCAATTAGTGAGCTCAAAAACTCTGTTCCCCACTTGGCTCCCAGAACACTAAGGGCGAGGTGGGGCTGCCAATATCCTGGAAGACTCTTCTCTGGGAACTCTGACCAATCCACATCCAAGAAGAAAGACCTAAAGTGACTGAGTTGGGTGTTCCCCCTAAAATGCCCATGCAGATCACCTCTGGGCAAACCTACTGTCAATAGTCTCCAACTGTGTACTCAGAACTTTTGGTGAGCTCTTTAGGGGGCCCCACTCTCAGCCACAAGCCAAGGATCATCAGGTTTCTGAGGAATGTCTCTAATCCAGAAGATAAGAGATTAAAAGAAGCAAAGAGGAAAAAAGCAGTTTGGTGAAAACAAAACAAAATAAACACATGCTATCATCAAAATCCTCAGAAATTGAGGATGCTAGATCCTTGAAACAAAAATAGGGTGCTAAGATTCAAAGAACACTCAGATGACAAGAGCTCTTAAAATTAGAAGCATAATTGCAGAAATTATTTTAACTTTTTGTTTTTTATTCTTTTGGTTGTGATATTCACAACTCTAATTATTATGCTTATACTGTGATTTCTTGATTATCGTGTTAGATATTTTGCCATAAAAGATGAATACATTCATATTTCTTTGTTTTTTCTCTTTTCTTTTACTATAGGTTTATCACTTACCTTTGCCCTTTAAAAGATATATCGAAATTATTATATTAATTATATATATATATACATATATATATGTGTGTGTGTGTGTGTGTGTATCTCTTATTATACGTAAGATCAGTTTCACTTGTCAGTTTTAATTCTTTCCCTACCTGTTCCTGCTCACAGATGTTTTATCATCTAGAATCAAAAAGGAAAATACACTAGTTTAGTAAATATTTATGTAAACACTAAAGTGTTGGTCTTTATATGCATAGTAAAGGTACTTCCCAGCTTCACACTTTAAGGCTGTTGAATTACAGCTTCTTTTCAGAGGGTAGGTCAGGACTCCTGCTGAGTCCTCGTAACTGCTGAAGTAGACAAACGTCTCTTGTATGTTGTTAGCACAATAAGAAATACATAGTGATTTACCCTCCCATCCCCACCCACCCTTGGTAACCACCAAAGAATATTTCTTTTTTTGTGAGACCCTTTTCTTGATTTTTTATAGTAGTTGTCTCATGCAATATTTGTCCTTCTATGATTGACTAACTTCACTCAGCATAATGCCCTCTAAGTTCATCCATTTTATAAGGTGCTGCATAGATTCATCATTATTCCCTAATGTTCTCTGTGTGTGTACACACACAGACGTACACACACAGACATGCACACACATACAGACTGACATACATATGGGAGCTCTGGTAGTGTGGTGCCTAAGGCATTTGACTGCTAACCAGAAGGCTGGCAGTTCAAACTCACCAGCCACTCCTCAGAAGGAAGGTTGGACAATCTACTTCCGTAGTGATACCACCTTGGAAATCCAAGGAGGGGTCACTATGAGTTGGAGACAACTCAGTGGCACGTAACAACAACAACAAATATTTATATATAAAATCTTAGTATTTTGGACTAAATTGGCTTAGTTGTAACCTGAACTAATGTGTTTTCTTTCTTGTTCTAGGCAGTTGACAAGTACTTCAAACTTCCTCATGCTTCTAGTAAACCACCTCGGATTTCAGGAAGCCTTGTGGACACTTCTTATAAAACATTAAGATTTGCATTTAGAGCATCACTAAAAACTGCCATCTATCGAATAACTACTACTTTTGGTGAACATCTGAAGTAAGTTTATACCTCTTTTGATCTATGACAGTAGTCCACTTTGAAGAGTTCCCTTGGAAATAGGTGTGAGAATTATAAAGGCTTATGTGTTGAAAGTTTTTTTTTGTGGATCTTCATGATTCCCACTGTGAACTAAATAGCTTGGATCTAGACATAATATTTATATTTCAAAATTTAGTCAGTCATATAAGCTTTGGGACTTTCAGATAGACAAGAGAGAGGATAGAAATTTTGAAAGCAGCAAATGTAGTTATATGGTTTTTTTTTTCCTTTTCCTTAATTACCAAAACATCATGAAGAAAATAAAAAGAGAGAGGGAGAAGTACCTTTCCAGAAAAACATTCAGTATTATTCTTTCCTTACATCTTGGTTAGCAGACTAGAGTGTGGGGTGAACAGAGTATTCCGTAAATGAGTCCTTGATGCTTGGTGACTCATGCTGGGAAAACACTGACAGATCACAACACCTTTAGAAATGGAACCAGAGAGAAAAACCACAAAAGCCTAACCTGCTTCTATTTAGTTTCATTGATGATTCCTGCTTTTCTTTCATGGAATTGTCTAGCAAGGCAGGATGAGGGAAAACCAGTTTATTAACTAATGGTAATCATAATTATAAATAAACTATAGAACACATGAGAGAGTGCTCTTTTTTTTTTTTTTCTGTATGCATTCAATAATTAATTTAGAACCTCTTTACATCACCTGCTTTGAGAAACAGTGTAGATAGCATTTCCTTTCACTTTTGCAGTACTGGGCTGCAGCCAGTCCCTATGCAGCACTTTAATTCTGTGTTGGACTATAATAGAGTTGCAGGTGATCCTCTGTCCTTAAGAGGTTTATGAACTTGTTTAAAAACAAACATAATACAAAAAAGAAATATTCTTTGATGGTTACCAGGGGTGGGTGGGGAAGGGAGGATAAAGCACTAACTAGAGGGCAAAAAACCAAAATTAACAAACAAAACCCTACTGTTTATTGAGTGTGTTATAGACCTGCACTGGCCAATATGCTAGCCATGTATGGCTATTTAAATTTAAAATAATTAAGTTAGGAGCTCTGGTAGCGTAGTGTTTAAGGCATTTGACTGCTAACCAGAACGCTGGTGGTTCAAACCCACCAGCCACTCCTCGGAAGGAAAGTTGGGCAATCTGCTTCCCTAGTGATACTGCCTCAGAAACCCAAGGAAGGGTCGCTGTGAGTCGGGTCTGACTCGATGGCAGTGAGTTGTTTTTTTTGTGTATGTGTGTGTAAGTTAAATAATAAGTTAATTCATTTTGTCAGTCATACCAGCCACATTTTAAGTGCTCAACAGCCACATGTTACCAGGAGCTACCATACCAGGCAGTGCAGAGAGAGAACATTGTCATTATTGCAGAAAATTCTGCTAGTCAGTGCCCTAGACGGTAAGCTTAGCCTTTTACATATGTCTATCATTTACTCTTCTGAAAGAGCCTATGAGGTATAGATATGATCATAATTGTACCAATGTGGAAATTGAGGCTCAATGCAGTTAACAATTGGCCTAAAGCATAGTCTACTGAATGATAGAATATAAACTTGAAATTGGGTCTTTTTTGCTCTTAAAAATTCACCTTGAAGTCTTCTGCAACAATGGAATAGATATGAAGTTATATTGATGATAGAGCAAAAGCCAGGAGAAAAGAAAATAGGGATTTATTAGATAAGAAAGAGAGCAAGATGACTGCCTTGGTTTCTTATCTCTGAGAAGAAGCATTCTTTATGTATGTGCTAAAATTGATGAGATTAGTAGAAAATAGTTTGCACAAATATAGGACAAAATGATAGGTTGGAGAGAATGTTAAGTTTGGAGTTCAGACACCTGGATTTAAGTGTGGTTACATCACTGACTTTCTGTGATTGTGGACACATTGCCCAATGATTTTAAATAACTTGCTTGGAACAGTGTAGCTAGTAAGTGGTAGAACTGGAGTTCATACCCAAATCTTTCTGACCCTCAAACCCTAACACTAGTGCCTTTTCTCTTAACAGTAGGCTGAGTTGTCTCCCTAACCTCAGAACCTTTCTGATAGGATTTACTCTTTGTGAAAAGGTGTATTATTAACCCCACTTTACTTCATTTGGCGTTAGTAGCGATAAAATGAGATCAAAATTATGTAAAATCGTTTTACATAATATAATATTATGACAACTATTATTATTATAAAATACGTCCTTTATTCACTATCCAAAATGTGACCACTAAGAACCAGGTATAAGTAATCTCTTGAGCTGTGAAAGTTATCACAGGTCACTTATTCATTGGAGATACTCTCTCAGGACCTTTTTACTCTTAATATAGGTAAATTTGATTAACTGGTTTTCCAGCCTACAACATATTAAAATTTTTTTGAGGGGAAGAGATAGCTGCTAGAGTCAAGAGTAAAAACCAGAGTAAGGCATGATTCACTGCCTGCGAGCAGAGGATGGAGCACAGGACAAACAGCAGAGTGGTGTTTAAGAGAGCTCGGTGCCATTGAGAGACAAACAGCCTTGCTAGCACCTAGAAGGCATCTCTGCACAGTGAAATATTTGAAATGGTTCAGTTAGAGGCAGCTACGTGCTTTAAGACAGCAAAGATGTGTGTGAGACATTTTAGGATGATTTCTGGCAAAATTATGAAAATAAAACTTGGCGCTTTTAAAAGTGGTGACCTTTAGTTATCTGGAATTTTATCATCCAGTAATGATATATTACTATTCAAGAACCAGAAAACCAAAATCTTTTATTATATTTAACCTCTCTGCAAAGTTTAAAAGGAAGTTTTATATTAGTTTCAGTATATATTTGCCCTAATTCTGTCAAGGTAAAGTATTTTCATGGGGGCAAGGGTAGGGAGAGAACTCAATTTCCCCATCCAAGACCTAACTTATGTTCAAAGGGAAAAGTAAATCTAAACCACCAAGCTGTTACCTTTGAAAACGATTAGTGGAGTCTATTGTGTTTTAACCAAACATTTTGGTTTAAAGGATTTTATATTAAAGGCAATTCAAACACTCCACAGCTCAAAGATAATGTTGGGATCTGGTTTAAATAAAATAATAAAATCCAGAAAATGTAGTGCAAGGGCTGGAACTTTGCACAGCAGGTTCCACAGCAGAGCAGGTTAAAGCTGATGCCTTCACTTGTCAGTCTTCATTTTCTTTGGTCTTTTTGGAGGTAGAAACATGCTATTGCTGAATGCTAAGCCCTCTTCATTAGATTAAGGAGGGTTTTCATCCAACGTTTTTCCAAAGTACTAAATAAGTGAAGATTTCTCTTCATTTTTAATTGTTTTGAAAAATATTGACTCTGTGCTCTGTGGCTCACTTAATATGCTTAATGTAAAATAAAGCTTATGCTTTGAATTTATGTTTCATTTAGTGCTGTGCAAGCATCTGCAGAACATCAGAAAAGACTTCAGCAGTTCTTGGAGTTCAAAGAATAGTTAAGTAATATAAACTGTGTTCATTACACTGCTGATACAACTACAGATGGGACAGTAAATGTTCAGCATTCTTGGATCAGAAGAAAATGGACTAATTAGACGCTTCCTTTGTCGTGGTGGTTGCTTTGAAAACTATACTTTAATGGGAGAAATCATGGAAAGAAATTCTCAACAGAATAACCAAAAACTGCCTTTTCTGTACCGATTGCTTTTTGTGTGTGTGGTATAATAAAGTCTTTATTCAATTTTACAGAAGCATGTACAGCAGTAGGACTGTCTCTAGCTCATATAACTTAATAATAATAACTTGAAAATTTTTAGAATTTACTTTTGAGAGGAGTGGAGCCAGTTCAGGGGTAAAATAGTTTGACTTGATGCAGTCTTCCTTTTTAATCATTCGAAAAGTTTAGCTCTCTCTAAACACGAATACATAAACTTTTTTAGAGTAGTTTCTGTTTACTGAAGGATAAAAATGGTAACAGTGGAGAAAAATTCACAGGAAAAATACTGTTTAAAGGACATATTTTGTTAATCTGTTAGGTTGTGTTTTTGTTTCCAGGGACAAATTAAATTTGCATGATTGTCCAAAAAAAAAAAAAAGTCTCAATTTACAGATGCCAACTCTATATAAAGGAATGTGGAACAATTCAGTTCTTAAGTTACAAGATTAAACATGCACATTTGGTTTTTGAAAAACAATTGACCAGCATCTATGAATTTATTTTGTATCATGCTAGTAAGCATTAAGTGTATGGATATTTTCCTGACTAGTTTTGCTTTCTTTTTCTAGAACAAACATTAAGTGATTGCAGAGTTTTTCAAGTGAGAAAAGAAGTTTTGCAAGAAAAGTCAGGAAACTACCCCCCCCAACTCTTCATCTTCATTAGATCAAATTATTTTACAGAGCTTGTCTGGCTTCACAGAGGGAGCAGCCTCTGCTGTGTTAACTGGCTAATTAAAATATATTAGGAAAATCTTTACAGCCAGAAACAACTTAGTCATCAAATAGCAAGTGAAACCAAAACGTCAGAGGGATTACTGTGCTTGGGAGTATGGTATGTGTCCAAAATGTGAACAAGGTAATTTTATAATTTATTAGATCAACTTCTTTGGAGATGAAAGATTAGAAATTCTGCTGGTAGCTGTTCATTGAACTAGCTTTAGACAGAAGTGCTCCCTTGTAATTCTTACTATTTTTTCTCTCCAGTGCCCTCATTTTTTTTTTTTTTTTTTTCCTTTAAATTCAGCACAGTATTGTATGTGAATCTCTAACATGGTGTATATGTCTACCATTTGTCCAATTCCTTGATGTTTTATATATTCCCAATAGAATATATCAGCTTCAGGTCTGATTGCCCCTTCACCAGCACATGCCAAATTATACATGAATCCTGCTGGCTTTTCAAGCATCTTTATCACAGTTTCCCAGTTGTCAAGTGCTTTTGGGTTTTGAAGCTATTCCATTTGCCTTTCTCTCTTTTTTTTTTTTTTGCTTTGTGTCTGAAGTTGACTTGATCTCTTTCTTGAATGTGAAAGGAATTTCAAATGTGATAGTCTCTTATAGATGACCAAAAAATTGTAACTAGGTTGACTGACAACTGGTGTGTTCTAGTTTTTAAAGCCATTAAGCTTTTTATATTCCGTTTTCTCTGCTGCCCTGGCTGAGGAATTTTGGAAGACAAAGACCCTTAGCCCTCTGCTTTCATTAAAGGAGATTTGTGGTATTTAACCATTGCATTCCTGAGGCTGAAGATGGGATGATTCCCTTAAACTTTGACTGATTTGGATAAAATATCTGGCTAGATTTAGGTTCTTGCCATTTCCCAGATATTTTGGACAGAGTATGTTTGATGAGCAATGTGAATGCTTCTGAGCTGTTCATCCCTGTTTTATTCTCAAGAGAATGTGCGGTGGACAAAATACAGGCCGCATAATTCCTGGCTCTTGGAGATTTAGAAACTACCTCCTCAAATGTATACTGTATTTAGTAGGTAAGGGGGGTGGTTCTTTTTCACCACTTTGTATTCATAATCTGTACATCAACTTTCTGGGGCTACAGTGTTGGCTCAGTCACCTGTTATGAAAGGGAGGCCAAGAGGAGAAGAGCGTTTGCTTTGATGAGGTCTCAACCTGCCTGTGAGTCTGCTGATGCTGTAACACTGGCCAGACAATTAGAGAATGCTCTTTAAAAGCCTTTCTCTGGCTGTCGGTGTAAAACTTGATGGCATCAGCTTTTGTAATGTTTGTTTGGCCCTTCTGGAAGGTATAAATCCACGTAGCTTCTCTTCAGAGAACTGGGAAACTCCCAGAGTTTGTACAGTGACTGAACATTGATGAGCAACAACTTGTTACTTTGCTGGATTTTGTTTCTTGGTCATTGTTTTGTATGTTTTCCTGTAAATATTTATAGGAATCTGTTTATATCCTTTTGTATCATCAATACTAAATTGGGTAGGAAAATAAATCGACAATTAAAAAAAATAGATTACTAATTGAAATGTATGTGTCTATAGTTATTTAATTTCTGTTGTGTGTGTGTTGTGTGTGAGTTACCCATTTCAATTCAGTCTCAGAGTCTTTGCTTATAAAACTTACAGAGATTTAACTTCTTGAGAAATCAGCTTTTGCCCTTAGCTGGACTAATTTAGTGGGTAATCTGTGTTTAATGTTAACTTTAAGGAGCCTGACTTCTAAAAGTCTTGGTTGTCCTTCTTCCAAAATAAAACAAAAGGGTGTAGATGCTGAAAGCCATCTCTTAACAGAGGTGTCTTTTCTTGCCAAAATAGTGTTTCTAAATGGATCATATTCCCTCAGGCTAACATTATGTCTGTCAGCTTTACTTAAATTAGTCTGAACCCCCACCTCTGGTAGGTACTAAGGCCATCAACTCCCTTTCTCTCCCAACCCTATAGTCATCTTTCTTTAAAATTAAATAGCTTAAAACGAAGATAGTTTTAATTCATCACTGAACAATCCAGTTATTATTAGCAAGCTGCTGGCTATTTTTAATAAACAAAATCTTTGTTTTGAGGGACAAGAATGGGAAACAAGTGCATATCCCCTATAATCCTCAGTTGTGGTCCTAGTGCTATAGTGATGTGCAAGTTGATGTGGAGCTAATTGAAACACTGACTGGGTGGGTGTCTATTATATCCTAGCTGTTAAGAGTAGATTATGAATAAGACACAGTCCCTGCCCTCAGTGAGTGTATAATCTTAACACAGTGACATTTGAAACTTGAATCACCAGGAGTGCTTATTACGATATGCAGACTCGGCTCCACTTCAGGTTCTGATTCAGGGGTCTGGGCTGGCTCTCAGGAGATGTTGTTTTCAACCAAGGGTACAGAGATGATTCTAAGTAAGTGGTTTGAGGATTACACTATGAGAAGGGTTTATTCTAGGTCAGTGATTCTGAAACCTTAGTATGCTTCAGAATCACTTGAAGAGCTTGTAAAACACAGATTGTGGGGCCCCATCTCCAGAGTTTCTAATTCTGCAATCGGGGTTTAAGCCCAAGAATTTGCATTTCTAGCAAGTGTCCAGGTGATGGTGGTGCTGCTGCTGGTGTGTCCTTGGACCACACTGTGTGTGAGAACCACTGTCTTAGTGGATTTTCTCATATGTGGTTTTCTTTTAGATGTGAGTTTTTGCTGTAAAGTAGAGCTCTATCTGATTGATTTATTGGAAAGCTTGAAGAATACTGTTAGATCTCATAGACAGTGCAGGGGTGCTAACAAAATATTGTGGACCTGTGTTTTTGTAAGACCTGTTTCAGAAATGCTGGCGAGTTTCTGTCCTCTTCCAGACAAGCTTCTCATTCTTCAGAACAAGCTTCGTCTTAACATACTCCAGCTCGATTTCAATGTGTTTTCTCAATAATTGGTCATTCCTTCTTTTTTGTCCTTATACTGAATTGTAACTTTGATTATGAATCTGCTTCCTCTCATGGACTATGAGCTCCTCTAACAATAATTTTCCAGTAAATAAATGAAAACTAGCAATGTGCAGAAGAAATACGAGGCAGTCTGCTTCCATAAAGATTTACAGCCTTGGAAACGCAGTGGGCATCACTATGAGTCTGAATCGACTTGATGGCAGTGAATTTTCTTTTCCCCCCTAGGGTTACTTCAGTTTTTCATTTTTAGCAGACACAGGTCCACATTTCTTTATCTGCAATTCTGAAATCCAAAGGTTTTTTTTTTTTTTTTTAATGAGTTTGGTGACAAAATTTATTTGGCAGCAAAACTTGAACTGATGGCTATTTATAGACTTAATTCATCCCACTTGGTATGAATATGCGTGCATTTCACTCCAGAATGTTTGATTCTGGGGTTCTGTCCTAGACCCCACTGGTGGTATCATATAATATGCATCACTAAAAAAACCTCACGGCCATCGAGTCAGATCTGACTCATAGCGACCCCTCCTTGGGTTCCTGAGGCAGTACCACTATAGAAGTAGATTGTCCAATCTTCCTTTCAAGGAGTGGCTGATGGGTTTGAACTGCCAACCTTCTGGTTAGCAGTCAAATGCTTTAGGCACTACGCCACCAGAGCTCCTATGCATCATTATTACCTTTCTGAAATATGAAACCCTTTTTATTATAAAGCATCTGGCCTCAGGAGTATGAGACCCATATACATTGGACCTGTTTTTTTAAAAGCTGCTGATTCTTCCATTTACTCATTCAGCATTCATTCACTGCCTGCTACGTATCAGGCAGTGAACTCACTGTGAGAGTTACTGGTAGTACAGAATCACAGTGCTTGCTCTCACAGAGTTCACCATTGTTTGCAAAGGAACTTTTTTCTTCTTATTTATAAAATTAATGTATTTTGATCTTGCTACCTTGTTGATTGATTCTACTCTGTTCCTCACCTGTTCTAAGCAGTAGGTGTGGCTTGCATTTGTGCTTTAGTATAGGGGATAGATACTTCTTTACCCAACTCCTTTATGAACCCTTTTTCAGCACTTGACACAGCATGACCTTGGTGTCTTGGTGCTAGCCCTCTGTCACTTGCTTATTTTGCAGAGCTATGGGGCTGCATCTTGTCCTCCATCTCATCCTGATCAACTAAGGTAGGCTCCTGAAGGCCATGTTGGTACTGCATGACCCTGTCCCTCAAGCGCATGTTCTCTCTGCACACATTGTTTTCAGATGCCATTGTGTCTTGGAAGTGATCTAAACGGTAAAGTAGCTCTGCAAGGCCAATGAGATGTCTCTTACAAAGAAACATTGAAAGTTGACCTCTA